ACAAATAATCATGTCGACCTTATAGGCACATATATCACATGTATAAATTTCTATATCATGTTGGGGTCACCTTATATCTAGCAGTTCCTTATGTTTTATTCTGGTTATCTCATGATGGCCCTTCTGGACCATTTACCTATGATGGTGTGATAAGAAATATATGTTATGCTGCTACTCGGTTGTGCAATGTACCGGGTGCATATCGCGGCCCTTCGATTTGGGTCGTGACAAAAGAAAGAAGGAAGTGCCTTAACATACCTTAAACCCGCTGAGTCCTTAATACCTTCCAAGCAACTCTTTAAACAAGTCAACTCAATCTATCATAGTATAAGGAGATTCAAAATCAATGCTGAGCAAATGCTAAGTCTGTAACTTAAGCTAGTAGCTCATTTACGTAAATTCGAGCAGCATCTCCCCCGTAACAAGGTCCTCCTCCAATACCATATACCAACAACAACAACAACCAAAGAAAGCCATCAACATATAAATATCAATAACAAGACACCATATAATAACAACAAGTCACAACTACTTCACGACGAGCGACAAACTCCGATTGAAATCTGTATAACTCATATCACCCCTTATAGACTTCTTATATTAACTTAACAGTATCATTAACATGATAATGAAGTCATTCATCAATGATTCCATCCTTATACCATATATTTATAATAATGGAAACAATTCTCAACTCCAACTATCTTCAATTAGTAACTTTATTCACTAGTTCATATCTACTCCATCCATTTAACTTAATCAACATCAAGATAACCTTAAGCACATGCAATAACACAATACACATACCTCCTACAGTAACTTCAAGTCAAAGTTCAAGTTATGTTCAGCTTACAACAACCCTCAATGGCAATACAATGCCATAGAAGTGACTTAAGCTAATCCAAGTATTATCTTGTAGTTTATCATCCTAACAACTTGACCAATATACAAGAAAGTTTAAGAAAAATTAGTAGGCTGTTATACTCACCTTAGCCAGTAGCAACAACTTGGAATTTCAGCCAAACACAGCCCACAACAATCCTCAATGACAACACAACCTCAAAGAGGTGTTGTTCTTCACTAGAACTAAGTTTTGATGTTGAAATATGGTAGAATCACTTCAAACTCTTGTGGTATCTGTTTAGAAGGGTTAGGAGAAGTTTTTAGACGAAGTTGAGTTGAAAATGATTTAAAAATAGGCATCCAAATCGTTTATAAAGTGAAGTAGGTCGACCACCGCCTAAGTGGATCCTATTGGGAGCTGCTTGCGCGGTCTAGCAAAAACGCGAATACCACTCTATTTCGATGTTGTATCGACAAACAGTTTAATGATTTAGAAACTAGACTCGTAGATCTTAACTTTGGTAGGTAGATCACCCTATAATTACAAGTATATTTGGAGAAAAGCTCAGCTACATTTGACCTAATTTTCAGCAAATTTATGAATGTAACTTGTGATGACCTTTGCCAACTCTTGTTCCACAACTTGCTTGCCTTCAAAACGTAGCAAATGACTATCATACTACTAAAATAACTCATATCATAACCTCCTTATCATGTTAAGAACCCTAGTCTTACCTCAAAGTACATGTTATAACATTCCAAACTTGTCGACTTTCGACGAAACTTATTTTCTTCAATTGGTTTAGCTTCTAAGCTTTCCAACCCTCTTGGTACTCGTTATTCATGATATTAAATATGTGTAACATCCGAGGTAACATGATTAACTTACTTTATTTGCTTCCAAATATAATCTCATTCGAGCTTACATCAATGGCTTACGACGTAATCTCACGTATGAAAACGTGGGGTGTAACAGTCACGTATGAAGTTGTAGGTATTAAAGTACTTAGGGAGGTGTAGATACTCTTATACAAATTATATCCAACCCGTCCCATAGCCTACGTTACAACAAAATATATAGTCCTACATGATCTAGATGAGGCTATTCCTACATTCGTAGAGATTTACACGATAGTCAAGCTTATGGTACTTTTAAAAGCATGATTCACTTCTTTGTGAGAGAGCGATTGTAATGTACTTCCCTGGGCCGTTAATTACAATTGGTGTGTGAATGAGCACTGTTTATTTCTTGTGAGGTGTATCGAGGATTTGGCGCCAATTTGACCACAGCACTAGTGGAATGTCATGACCAGGGTTGAGGTTGAACGTGACCCCAGGATGGTATCAAGTTGATCTTAGCCGGCCACTTATCTAAGGTGGTTGTAGTGTTAGGAGCATTTTCATTTTAGATTTGCTGGGGACAGGCAAAAGCTAAGTGTGGGGGTGTTATTAATTGAATTGCAAGGCTAATTGTGATTTTACTTTAATCGAAAGAGAAGTGTTGCTGCAACTTGTACTATGTTATCTCGTTTGGGTTGATTTCACGACTCTCTAGGTAATCAGAAGAGCTAACAAAGTTATTAATTGACCCAAGTAGAAGAATAGTCGGGAGATGTTCTTTGTAAGATCATTCGTTCAACATATTATTGCATATTCTCTCAGCACATATCATTAGGTTATTTAGCGCACTCGAATTCATTCGGAAGAAGAATTTAAATTCTCAAGATATGTTGGTTCGGAAGAGTCAATAGAATTTAAGAGTGAGCATAACATAGAGTTGCCCACAGTTTTAGTTGATTACTTATCTTGTCAAAGCCCTTGTTTCTCACTTTGATATTCAATCGTTGCCACTTAGTTCTAATTTTTCATTATTCATTCACAATTGAGAATCTTAGTTTTTATTCTTAATTTGTTAATAACACAAATTTAAAGGTTGATTGTCCTGAATAGTGTTAAACTGAAGATTTCTTTGAGCATTATTTAACCCAATCCCTGTGGAGATAATTAATATTATACTATCTTTGACTAGCGAGCCTAAGTTTTATACACCGATTTTGCGCTCATCAACTACCATTGCAACCACCACCACCATCACCACCATAATGACTACCGTTTCACCACCTCCACCTTTACTCTACGATAGACCTTCCTCCGCATCTTGCTGTATTTTTATTTATATAATTGATATTACTTCCGGAATTTTAACACTATAATTGTAAAAAAAGATTCTTCCAAGTGAAATCTGTGATTTTGTTGTCTTCTTTTGCCTTGTTTTGGTTATATTTCTCTACAACAACCTACCATCTTAGGAAATTTTACATAAGGCTTGTGACTTCTTATGCTTGGAAAAACTATTGTTTTGGGTTGTTATATTTTGCCCACTTATAAAATTAGTACTATTTTGAAGTTTTTCATGGAGTTTGTGAACTTTTGATGCTTTATGAATATATTTTTTTTGTTGTTTTCTCTTACCTAATTGTAGTTGAGAATTTCTCCAAATATTGTACCGTTTTAGAAATTTTATGATGGAGGTGTTAACTTATGAGCTGTAAATTTTTTGTTTTTGGGTTTCTATTGCATAATGCTAATTGTATTTTCTACAAAAATTGGTATTATTTCAGGAGTTTTACAATAGAGTTGTCCATTCCTGATACTTACTGATCTTTTATTTGGGTTTGTTTTGTTTTGCATAGTTCTGGTGGTATTTTGCTCCAAGAATTTGGTATCGTTTTTGGAGGCCGTAAGCTAGAATTGTTGATTTTCATGCTTATAGTAAGGATGCATGTATGACTGAGAGCTGAATGTGGTGAAAATGGTAGTGACGGTAAGCGGAGGGGTAAGATAGGTTGTGGCTGATGAGATGGCATGTCACGAGGTATTCATGTCATCAAATTATAGAGCTATATGGGAATGAGTGTCTACCTTGGATAACTTTAACAAAAGAGAGATATATTTAAACCATTAAATTAATGTTGGGGGCACTTTTATACCAAAAGTATAACGGAGGATAAATGTGATCCTTTTCGCATAGTAAATGAGCATATTTGACCATTTCCCCTTTTTCCCCCCCTTTTTGGACACGCTCTCTTCTTATTCTCAATTTTGTAAAAAATAAAAAATTTAAACCCAAAACAAAAAAGGGGAAAAGATCTAAAGGTGTCCATGTCGTATTCAATTTGTCTTATAAATATCTTTTGTTAATTTATTAGCTCATAAAAATTCTCATTATTATTTTTTGTCCTAGTTTTACACAACCTTCTATATTGGTTGGAGGAGGCTTTTAGTTTAAAACTAAAGGTACAAATTTACCCTTGAATTATACGAACGGAAAATGGTCAAATATACCACTATACTATCAGAAAAGGTTTATATGTATCCCTTATTATACTTTGAGTCCAAATATATCCCTGTCGTTATACTATTAGTTCAAATATACCTTTTTTCCGTTAAGTTTATCCAAAGTAGACATTCAATCCTACGTGACACTAACATTTGATGAGGTGAATGCCACATGGCTTGCCATCTCAGCGCCCCTAACCCATTTTACCACTCTCTTCTATTTTTTTTCCACTACTAAAATTTCCTTTCCCTCCACCACTATTGCCACCATTACTGCTACCATGAAAAATATTGTATTTCAAATCTGTCTTTTATATATGGATTAGGGATGGTGAGGTGGCATGCCATGTGACATCCACCTCATCAAATATCAGCGCCACGTAGGAGTGGATTTCCACCTTGGACAAACTTAACGGAGGAGGGGTATATTTGAACCAATAGTATTACAACAAGGATATATTTGGACCTAAAGTATAACAAAGGGTATATTTAAACCTTTTCTCATAGTACAAGGATATATTTGGCCCTTTGTTGTTATAGGAAATAGCCTAGTTTTACATCGGTCAAATGTGCTAAAATAGCTTAAATACCCTCTTATTTCCTAACTGTTGAAGCTTTGAGACTAATTGATCTCTAGTCTTAATGTTTAGCACTAAGAATTAGCAAGTGACTCATTTTAATCCCACAAATTTTTAATTTTTCTTTTTATTATTCTCCTTCTCTTGCCCAATCCTCCAAAACCAAACTAATTGACAAAAAAAGATTAAGAAAGAGTGGCATAAAAGGCATTCTACAAAAAACTAGGACTACAACTCTAGTATTACAGACTGAACCTCTCAGTCACTCTTTGTTCTCCCTATACTACACTATACTATGGGTTATCGGCTTCATCATTATAATCCCATTTATTATTATAACCCTTTTCCTCGCCTCTTCTCTTTTCGCTACAATTTCAGGTAAATTCTTTTACATACACCTAATGTTTATCACTAGAATGTTAAACATACGAAATGCATGTAACCAATTTTTTCTTAAAATTGATGACACATTTTTACATAATTGTAAACAGAGTGTGGTGTTGCAGCCAGAGTGGTAAAAATCAGGCACAAATGGAGCAAGTAGTTGTTAATGGCTCTGAGTCACATTTAGTTGTAGTGGATAATCCTAATTTGTTGCAAAAGAAAATATCTGCAATTCGCCTTGCCGGTCCTGCAAAGCTCCAGGTTTTGTTCCCGTTTTTTTATTTTGTTGGGTGACGAATTTTAATTGAGAACAACGCAATGATTCATCTTCATTCCCAAATGGAGTGTTTTTCGCTCCTTTTAAGTAGTAAATATGTTATATTTAATTATTTTGAGACCGATATTACCTTCTAATATAGAGTAACAATACAAATTTAACATTTTTGATGGTTAATTAGATAGTTTAACAGCCAATCATTTGTTGAATTTGTGAAGATTCACCAGCAAAAGGATCGATAGTGCACATTTCGATTGTTGAAGGTTAAATGTGTTTAACCAAATAAAACAAGGACCAAATTCAGAATTTGTTGATCGTTCAGGGACTAAAAGTACAAATTCAATGACGTCTGAATTTAAGACATTGTTGTATTGCTTGTTAATCTGATCAATGCACTTTTTTATTTACTTGTATGATAAAATGTTTTCCCTTGAAGGAAGTTGTTATCTAAGGAGCATTGGTGTTAGTCTTGGGTATATATGTAGAACTTCCTCAATAACTTATTATTTTCACAGTTAAGGCTTCATTCTTTATCTTTTGTGTGAGGATCGAAGTAGTTTAACATTTCCTGCTTCTTGGCTGTGATGTTAAATTTGTGATTAGGTAAACTTGTAAGTGGTTAATTGAGCTTGTACTGACATTTACCAATCTCTAGGCCCTTATATAAACTACAAGGAAAGTGCGCATCTGAATATTGGTTGCTTGCAAGCAGGATATACTTTTAGAAGTGAAATCTAATAGGCTGGATTTGTATAAATCATGGCATGCTTCCTGAAAAGTTCTGTTATTGAGGATCAACTATAACCAGCTTTCCCAAGTTTCTATCTGATTTTTAACTTCTTTTAAGTGGTCAAAAAATTATTTAAGATTTGGTTAATCAAGGGCTACATGTGCCGAGCTCATTGCCTCTTGTACTTCCTGGACGTGCTTGCTTAATTGCACCTGGAAAGCGGAGGTTAGATCTGATATCAAAGTAAACACTTTTGTGGTCTTGAGTTTGAACTGATACTGTTTGTCGACTTGATCTTGGTACTGGTCCGTCTAGATCAAAGTAGGAGCGGGTAATTAGATAGGTAATTTTAATAGAATGGAGATGAAACACGAGGATGAGTTAGGGTGCATGACATACAATTATTAGTCCTGGTTATTCCAGCCTAGCGCTATATCAATCTTTTCTTGTGTGCTGTTTTAAAACCAAATTATGGATGTTAAATCTTTGTAGAATCTACTTGTCAGTTCCATATGGTTTGGCAGGACGCTATAGCGGTTGGCTCCGTGTTTTGTATGACCTAAGTCCAGAACCATGAGCATTTGTTAATGGACATTACTTCTCTTAGATACAGTCTCAAACATGTGTGTGTGCACATATCCATGCATATTTCACCTTGTTCTAATTGCTTTTTCCTTCTACGTACTAAACTATTTCAACATCCTAGGTAATTGCAGATTTCGATGCCACATTGACAAAGTACTGGATCAATGGTTGTCGAGGCCAAAGTATGTTATCCACTCCATACAACATTGTCCTATTATGATAGCTTGGCTGGAACAGACTGCATATTCAATAGCATACAATTCGATATATGCTCCTTAGGGCTTAGGTCACAAGTGAATGACTTCTCAAGAAAACAAATTTTGTAGGCAGTCATAATCTTTTACAGCAGGAGGATCCTGAGTACAATGTCAAGAGGCAGACGTTATATGATTATTATCATCCCTTAGAATTTGATCCGGCTATTCCCCTTGATGAGAAAGCCAAGCTCATGGTAGAGTGGTATGTGTCATGATTTTGTACTGCTATAATCGGATATACTATTGCATTTTCTTGAGTTTTTGACAAGTGAAATGTGAAATACATAAATTTGAAGTTTTTAAGGATAATATTAATATTCTTGTAGATTGTACGAGTACCATGGCCTGTGTTAATGTCCAACTTATTTTCTGCAGGTGGGAAAAAACACATGCTCTTCTCATTGAAGGAGGCCTTACATACAATGCAATTCAAAATTCCGTGGCTGAAGCCACAATTGCATTCCGAGATGGTGTAACTGAACTTTTTGAACTTTTAGAGGTACAGTATAGCCACTATCAGCTGTTGTTTTCTGAGACTTCTTGAGATGATGTTTGATGAATGTCAATGCAACATATATGATCCATTGGGATTTTCTCGTGTGAATTGGAATTTCTATTAGAAAGAACTGATGGTTTAGTTCCACGAAGAGCTAAAGTATAGATAATAGGACCAATCTAAGATGTTAAGAACCTTTTAGGAAATGCCAAGATTATTTTTCTTTTCTTTCTGTTTTTGTTTTTTGTTTTTCGACCGTTGAAAGTCCTAGAATATCAGGCTTAACCACCATTCAAATTTTGTTTTAGAGAAAAAAAAATTGAATGCTCATGCCGAAGTTGTTAGTCAATTTATCCTAGAAAAGCTCTTCTCAGAAGAGTTTCCTTTTGACCTTATACTCTCTCCTATGATTGCTTCATAATGAGTTGGATCTGTTTGATATGCAGGAAAAAGGTGTCCCTGTACTTATATTCTCTGCAGGTTTAGCTGACATAATAGAGGAGGTTAGTTCTTCAGGCTTGTCAGTGGTCTTGATGCATAACAGGTGGATGCGATTGTGTCACATTTGTCCAATTTGGCTTTAGATACGATGTCTCTCATCTTTTTGGTTTGGCAGGTGCTGAAGCAGAAAGTTCATAGATCTTTCAAGAACGTTAGAATTGTCTCCAACAGGATGGTGTTTGACGAAAATGGTCGCCTACAGTCATTTAAAGGTATCACCTATCACCATTAGAGGTGTTCTTTTCGCTTGCTTTAAAGAGTGCTTTAAGCAGTTTCCACTGATGTTTTGATTCATAATAAATTTGCATGGGCTACCAAATTTTAGCTATTCCTCAAAGTTTGGGAATTGCCTTTAAGTTGTAAGTTTAAGCTTCAACGGAGGCATAAGCTGCTCTAGTTAGATAAAGAGTTTTATTTTCTTATATTCTGACAATATATAAAGAATATAAAGAATTTAAGCTATCAGGTTATTTAACGACCAACCACAGGCGATTTTCTGTAGTGTGGATTAGTAACTCAAAAAAGAGGGTAGTTAGTTGTTACTACGGATCAATTAGTCATTTATTTATATAAGACCTTATCAAAAAAATAAATATAAAATTGGTCTATATAAGTTAAATTCACTATTTAAAAGTAACACACTTGCATAAATGTAGAATGAAAGATACTTTGTCATTTATGTTTAGTAACATATCTTGAAACATCTGAGTTAACTTGTGAAAAATAGCTTTCTCCGTTTAATCTATATCAAATTCTTGAATATAGAGACATTTGAGTATAAAATTATAGTTCAAATTGTGGAAAGAGTAAGAAACTTGAATAATTTCATTCATATTTTTGAATGTCATATACATGGCTTTATATACAAGAAGAGGTTAGAAACAAAATCCCATAAAATCTAACAAAATCCCATAAAATCTGGGATTATATAAAATAAAATAAAACAAAGAATCAAAATTTGATATAGAAAGATCTTAGAGAATCAAAACTTGATATGGACAAATCTTGATATGAAGAATATCTTCTTGGAAATCCTCCATCATTCAACACTCCCCCTCAAGCTGGTGAATGGATATCTTCCATTCCTAGCTTGCTTATCAGGTCTTGAAACACATTGTTTGGCAGTCCTTTTGTTAAAACATCGGCCAATTGATTTTTTGTAGATACAAATGGTGTATAGATGAGTCCACTATCTAATTTCTCCTTAATGAAGTGTCTATCTACCTCAATATGCTTAGTGCGATCATGCTGTACAGGATTATGAGCTATACTTATTGCTGATTTATTGTTACAATATAGTCTCATATGTCCTTCCCATCTTATCTTCAAATCATCAAGGATTATCTTTAACCATAACAACTCACAAACTCTCATCGCCATAGATCTGAACTCGGATTCTGCACTTGATCTGGCCACCACATTCTGTTTTTTACTTCTCCAAGTCACAAGATTTCCTCCTAAAAAGGTACAGCATCCAGAAGTTGACCTTCGATCCATTAATGAACCAGCATAATCCGCATCAGTATAAGCCTCTAAAACCATGTCTCCTCCTCTTCTGTATAGTATTCCTTTTCCGAGGCTTCCTTTAAGATATTGTAGAATCCTGTTCGCCGCTTGGAGATGCATTTCTCTAGGGTCATGCATAAATTGGCTAACGACACTTACAGCAAAAACAATGTCTGGCCTTGTATGGGACAAGTAGATCAATTTCCTTACAAGCCTTTGATACGAGCCTTTATCTACCACAAAATCTTCTGGAGAATTACACAACCCATGATTATATTCAATTGGTGTGACAACTGATTTACATCCTAATTTTCCTGTTTCTTTCAACAAATCAAGCACATATTTTTGTTGGGAAATAAAGATTCCTTGTTTAGAATGTGCTACTTCAATTCCCAAAAAATACTTTAATTTTCCAAGATCTTTGATATCAAATTCCTTGAGTAAACAATTCTTCAAATTGTGTATCTCCTCTGAATCATCACCTGTTACTATGATATCATCTACATAGACTAGTAAAGCAGTTACCTTTCCTGTTTTTGAGTGCCTTATGAACAAGGTGTGGTCTCCTTGACTCTGCTGATAGCCTAGCTTGATCATAACCTTTGTAAATCTTCCAAACCATGCACGGGGTGATTGGTTTAGTCCATAGAGTGCCTTCTTCAGTCTACATACCATTCCCTTCTTGCTTTCAAAACCAGGTGGTACCTCCATATAGATCTCCTCATCTAAATCTCCATGTAGAAAAGCATTTTTAACATCAAATTGCTGTAGGTTCCAACTAAAAATCGCAGCCAATGACAATAAGATCCTCACTGTATTCATTTTTGCCACTGGGGCAAAAGTCTCCAAATAATCAATTCCATAGGTCTGTGTGTAACCCTTTGCTACCAAACGTGCTTTAAATCTTTCTATAGACCCATCGGACTTGTATTTCACGGTAAACACCCATCTACACCCTACCGACTTTTTCCCTTTTGGTAATTCCACCATTTCCCAAGTTTTATTCTTCTGCAATGCTTCCATTTCCACCTTCATAGCTTCTTCCCACCCTTTGTTGCCTAATGCTCCGGACAAATTTTTTGGAACAGGAATTGTGTGGAGGTTACTAAGAAAAGCTTTATGGCTTGGGGATAGGTTTTGACATGTCAAGGAAAGGCACAAAGGGTGTTGTGTGCAGGTTCTGGTTCCTTTTCTAAGTGCAATGGGAAGGTCAAGATCATTTGGTTGGCTATGATCTTCATGATCAGTTTGGTTTGGTGTTTCTAATGGTTCAGCAGGTTCAGGATAGGCATTAGGAGTAGGAACATGAGATAATTGTGGTTGAGTAGTTTGATCAGTTAGCCTCTTTCTTCTGGAATAAACCTGCAATGGTGGATTACTTTCTTGAATTCCTTTATCTATATCAAGATTAGAAGACTCAATAGGTTCATTAGGATTTAGAGACTCAGATGAGTTAAGAGATGGTGACTCAGGCAAGGACATAGATAAGGATTTGTCATGGCTAGGAATAGACAAATCAAGTAGTGATAAGTCTAGAGATCCTTTTCCATCCAATGACTCCCCCTGAATGTAAGAATTTTTAAAAAATAACTCACTTTCATCAAATATGACATCAGCTGAAACAAAAAACTTCGTGGTTGATGGTTGGTAACACTTATATCCTTTTTGAGTAGGAGAATATCCAATGAAAACACACTTAAGAGCATGTGGATCTAATTTGCCTCTATTCTGAGAATGAATGTGAACATAGGCAATACTCCTAAAGATTCTAGGAATCAATTTACTGGAATTTTCGAAATTCGGGAAGAAATTCCTAAGAGTATCAAGTGGGCTCTTAAAATTCAGAATTCTTGATGGTATTCTGTTACTAAGATATGCAGCAGTTAGGACAGCTTCCCCCCAATACTGATTTGGAACCCTTTTGTGAAACAATAGTGATCTAGTAATGTCAAAGTAACAAACCGTTTCTTCTCACCACTATCCCATTTTGTTGAGGAGTATTGACACATGAAGATTCGTGAATAATTCCCTCATTTTTGAAGAAAACAGAGAGGTTTTGATTGAAGTAGTCCTTGGCATTATCAGAACGGAATCTTTTAATTGTCACATCAAATTGGGTTTTAACCAGATTAAAAAAGGTAGGAAGAACGTGGCTGACATCTGATTTTTGCTTTAACAAATAGATCCATGTTACTCTTGTACAATCATCAATGAATGACACAAACCATCTAGCACCGGAAATATTAGGAATGGAAGAGGGTCCCCATACATCACTATGAATAAGAGAAAATGGAGTCTGACATCTTTTGTTGCTTATTGGAAAGGAAACACGTTTATGTTTTGCGATTTCACAATCTTCATAATGAAAAGACTCAACAACCAAATTTTTAAATAACGATGGAAACATTAGCTTGATTACATAAAAAGAAGGATGACCTAAGCGACGATGATAGAGCCAAACTCTCTCTTTATTGGACATAACAGATTCAAACAAGAATGAACTAGATAAGGAATTCTTAATTGTATCTCCACCATTGTGAAAATCCAGAAAATAAAGACCACCTTTCTCACTAGCACACCCAATCATCTCCTTCGTGTCCTGTTTCTGAAATGCACAATATGAAGAGAAAAAAGTTACTTTGCATTTGGAATCTTTGGTGACTTTGTGGACAGAAATGAGATTTGCAAATAACTTTGGGATATGAAGAACATTCTTAAGTATCAAAGACTTTCCCAGTTGTATGTCTCCTTGGCCAACTGCAGTAATAACTGAACCATCGGCTATAGTTATTTTTTTATAGCTAGGGCAAAGTGATTATGATATAAAGAGATGGGAGGAACAAGTCATATGATCAGTTGCCCCGGAATCAACCACCCACATTTGAGAAAATTTGTCTCTAACATTAGCAACAAAAGTGGAAGAAATACTTGCAACGGCCATTGAACAACTACCTGCCGAAGATGATATCTCCAGAGATTCCAGCAATGTCTTCAATTTCTCAATATCTTCTTTGTTGAATTCTGGGACTAATGGACTTTTTTTATCAACATGAGGGCTGCTAGCAATGTGTGCCTGCGTTCCATCAAAAGTATTTTTGGTTGGAGGTTTACCATTGAGTTTCCAACATCTCTCTCGTGTGCCGGTACTTTTTGCAGTAAGTGCAGTAAAGATTGTCCCTGTTGACAATCGGTTTGAATGAACTTGCGGGCTTGATGGTGCTCTCCAATTGTGAAACTCCAGATTCTTTTTTATTTGTCCCTGTCATAAGAACTGATCCTTCATTTATTTGAGTTTCAAGCATAACACTCCTCCGTCCTTCCTCTGTCCGTATAATGGCCATTGTCTCATTCAATGATGGCAGATCTTCTTTTCCTAAAATTTGCACTCGTACAGCATCAAACTCTGCATTTAGCCCTGCAAGAAAATCATAAATCCTTTCTTTTTCAATAAATCTTTTCAAAATTACAACATCGTCTGTGCAACGCATTTGAATGCATTGATAGTGATCCATCTCTTGCCATAACCCCTGTAAAGGGTTAGAATATTCAGTGGCAGATCGAGCTCCCTGTTTTGTTGCAGATAATTTTGTTTTTGTTTCATAGATCCTAGCAGCATCATGAACTTTATTGTATGCCTCCTTCACTGCATCCCAAATTTCCTTAGCAGTATTCAGAAACATAACAATATCACTAATTTCTGGAAGCATGAAGTTCCATAACCATGACATCACCATTGAATCATGTTCATCCCATGCATCAAACTTGGGGTCTTCTTTGGATGGTCTTGTACCGAGGAGATGTCCTAATTTTCCTTTACCTTTTAGAAAGGTACGAACAAGCTGAGACCATTTTAGATAATTTTTCCCATTCAACCGATAAGATGCTTGAATGTTTTGTAAATCTCCAGTTGAAACTGTAGAGCTATGCTCTACAGTGGCAGAAATATTTTCAGAGACTGGAGTATTCGCAATAGTACTCTCTTCGGACATGGTTTTCAAATGGTTTCAACCCTTGGGCGGAATAAAGAGGACAAATGTGATGAAAAGATGGATGAATGAAAAAAATCTGTCAGTAATAAGCCTAAGGCTCTGATACCATGTGGAAAGAGTAAGAAACTTGAATAATTTCATTCATATTTTTGAATGTCATATACATGACTTTATATACAAGAAGAGGTTAGAAACAAAATCCCATAAAATCTGGGATTATACAAAATAAAATAAAACAAAGAATCAAAATTTGATACGGAAAGATCTTAGAGAATCAAAACTTGATATGGACAAATCTTAGAGGATCAAATCTTGATATGGAGAATATCTTCTTGGAAATCCTCCATCATTCAACAAAAATATTAATAATAAACTGTTTTGACTCAAAACAAATGCCACGGTTATCCAAAAAATGCGGGTCGAACAGTCTAATTTTGGATTTTGGGATACATGAATATCTTTTAAAAATAAAACAGTCTAAATAAAGTACTACAGACCGACCTTCTTGAAGATTTAAAATATTTGAAGAAATATTTTAACTCTTTGTCAAGAAAAGTTCAGTAATTGTGTCATAAAAATTGGGATAAGGGTAGTAAAGTTCTCTCTTTAAGAATAAAATTTATTTGTTGCATCCTCACATTTTTTATGTTTTAATTTAATAAGATTAAAATATTAAATAGCTAAATTATTACAAAATGATGATATTCCAATATATTTCTCTATAATGACAATTATTTGATAGTTCTATCTGACTAAACCATGGTAGATAGAGTTATTCTGTGCTGGTAGGAAGCAGCAGGTAACTTGGTGGATTAGTGGAGGTGTGTACGAGTTGGCCTAGATACTAGAGTTTTTAAGAAATGAAAAAGGGAAGATAGTCCATACTCTTATACCGAATTACTAGAACACTATCTTTAGTTTATTTTGTACGTACAATTATTAAAACATAATTTCACCGACAAATAAACTTAAACCATTTATTATTATTATTTTTTTCCAATCAAATTGATAAAGAAGATATCAGTTGCAATTAAAATTTTGCTATTGTTACACTTGGTAGGGTAAGTGTAAATTTAGAGAGAGACTAGAGTCAGAGAGCTCTTAATTTGCCTTAAACCACATTACTCCAATATCACAATGAAATATGTCCAAATACAGTAGACTATACAGAGGATTCAAAATCAGAGACCTCATGTAGATTGGTACATTAAGGCATAGTTGATTAACTAATTTGATTGATTGAAACAAATAAGGACGAATTCTTTTATGATTCTTTTGAGTTTTATTTTTCCAAATAAATGCGAGTTTGTCCTCCATAGTTTTGGGCATTTATAAGGGTAATGTAAGTTTGGAAATCTAAATTCTGAAAACACATGAACACTAAAAGACTAAATCATTGAGATTCTTCTATGCAGTATAAATTAGTTTAGGAGTGGAGTTCAAGCCCTGTAACGAATTGATAAAGAAGATATCAGTTGCAATTAAGATATCAATTGATTAATATCTGATCATTGGCTGAACATCTCGATCCTAGTAGTTATCGTTAGATACTAAGCTTTTATACATATTTGGTCTGGAGAGGCATATCAAGCAAAGTAAATTGCATGGATATTTCTTGTATTGTTGGTCATTTATATCCTTTTTTTTCTAAAATTAAGAACACTAACTGAACCTGCAGGTAAGACAATCCATGTACTAAACAAGAATGAGCATGCACTTGACATGGCTGCACCACTTCACGATCACTGCGATGACCTGAATGGACTGGGTGATGAGAAATCTTCATTAAAGAAGAGAACTAATGTGCTACTTCTTGGTGACCACATTGGAGATTTGGGAATGTCAGACGGCTTGGACTATGAAACAAGAATATCTGTGGGATTTCTGTAAGTATCTCATCATGTCTTCTTATTCATCAATTTTGACAAAAAACTAACAGAGATATCAGAGAACAGAGAACATTCACTGCTCATAGAATGAATACATTGCCAATACCTCAAACCACTTAAATAAGCTAGAGAGAGAAGTAGAAAGTTTGAGAATGTGTGTGAGAGATGACCTCAAGTTGGTGCATGCGATAGCCAGGCTTATTGATTGTAATTATAATTGATGTAACCCCATAGTTAGAGAAATTAGGTGCTCACATCCCATAATCGAAGTAGGAAATGGTGTTCCACTATCAATGAAATTTGCAATCTTTTCCAGTCATAAGGCTTTGAGTTTTCCAAGATAAGCTTCCATTTTAGATTTCTTCACAGGGCAGGGGTAAGGCTGCAATGTTGTTGTTGTTAAGATCTCTTCAAATTTGTCAAATCATTAACAGTAAGATGAAATGGGAACATTTAGCCCAAGTCTCTAAATGGATAAAGCTGAAGTGAAGAACTTGCGACCACAAGAAAGACATTGGTGAGCATCAGTTCTCTCTGACACATTTTTTTATTCTCTGAAATCTTGAAGAGTTATATTTAGATGGTTGACAACTCCATGTCCTATGGTCGTTTTTCAATGGTAAAGAAAGGAATTACCCCGTTGCATGAAGTGCAGCCTACTCTTATGCAAGCATTAGTGGCTGTTTCCACGGCTCGAACCCATGACCTATAGGTCACACGGAGACATCTTTACCGTTGCTCCAGGCTCCCCTTCACTACTCAATAAAAGCATATGCAGCTTGGGTCCATACCATAAGTTCCAATATTGGTTTCAACTTTCTTGAGGATTAAACTCTTGACAGGCTAACCAACTTTTCTTCTCCTTATTTCAATCTGTGATGTTGTAATCAAGGGTGGAAGGGTACTTCAGCCTAATTTAGGCTTCAAACCATATTTTAATCTTTTCACAGGTCAACAAGCTTCCAAATTATACTATTCACTATTTTGGAAACAAGAGAAAATTATTAATCTGTGGATTTTGTAGAGTTCGTGATTATTAGGAGATTTTTCACTGACTGCCTGCTGAAGTTCGAATGGATATATTTTCCCCCAGTCTTTGACCTAATGGTTTGCCAAGATATTTTTGTACAGTTTTTGCGTTAAAATCTTTTGTGACGTTGTTTCTTCTTTGTCACTCAAAGAAAAAGAATATATATATATATTTTCATTAGGGGCTTTTGGTTTGACAATGCTTTTTAACATATTTGCAACTTCATTTAGGGCATGTGATAGAAAGTGCACTGAACTGACCTCCATGTCATTAAGGATGAGAAGGAGAAATAATTAACAAATTGCAGACTTGTTTCAGCTATACTTAACATTGGGTTAACAATACAGATCCTCAAAAGTTTTATCTTTTCTTGATAAGAGCTTTCCAGTTTCCATCTTCTATGACAATGCAAATGGTGAAAATCCCCTCTCTGTGCATAGAGCTAATAAAAATGGTGCGGAACTCAAAGCATAATGAAGTTTGCTCATATTGAGTTTCACAAAGCATGAGAACAAGACCAGATTTAAAGCTGTGTGACATTTTAGTCATGTTGATTTAATGTCTACTTGCCCTGCTCTTATCTTAGACCAAGTTGCATATGTGCTATAGTTGCTAAACTTACACGAGATTGTTGCAGGAATGACAAAGTGGAAAGCTCTCTAGAAAGCTACCGAAAAGCTTTTGACATTCTCTATCTGGTAAGAAATTCTTTGATGAACTATAAGTCTGATCATTCTCCTATTATAAATTGCTTGTCATTTCCCTAGTCCTATGTCTTCTTAAATTGTAGAATGATTCATCAATGCACGGAGTAGTCAAGCTCGCGTCTCATCTCTGTTCAACGGAAAGCGATTGAGTTGCAAACATTGCTCCTTGCAAGTCTCAATTTCCCTGTCTTGGATTGGCATAAAAGCACGAATGGCTGCTACATTTATCGTGTCAAGAAAATTTCCATTAAAGAGAATAGGAAGGGAAATTCATAGCAAATTTCTAATATCAACCTTCTGTTGTCACATGAAGATTTTAATGGTTTCTCATCTTTTACCTTATTATATTTTTACACCTTCGGGATTTTCTGTTGGAATAATAAGCTACAATTTTGTAGTTTTTTAGACATTGCACTACTTTTAGATGTTGGTTCCAAAAGAAACGAAAGGTTATATTTTTTTGTAACTGTATTGATAAATATTTCACTGTCTTGAGTTTATGTATTCATGTTTGCAAACTTTTTTTTTTCTTTTGGTATCTTTCGAATTTTTAAATATTGATTGTCGGAGATACATCATATTCGTAAAAATTGCACGAGGTGCCCTATTTGGTCGCTTCCATTTAATCTGTACCCACTTTTAATTTTTTTTAACTTGTACCCACTGTTTAAACAACTTAAGGCCTTTTTTCCTGTTTCTTCTTCTTCTTCTTCTTCGTTCTTCTTCTTCTGGTAACATGATTTTATATAGTGTTTGTAAACATATTTTAAGGTAGTTTATGATATTTTACAATAGTGAACTGTTGTGGCGCTTTATTTTTTACTATTGCTTAGGGTTTCTTCCTTTTCTTTTTCTTAATTACAAATTGGGTTTGTTAGATTTATTGTTGTTTTGACAAATTGACGATTGCGGTTTGTTCTTGATGATATTTGGAGGTTATGTTTCAAATTTGAGGTTATATGGGGTAGATTTAAGTATTAAATTATATATTGGATTGTTAAAATGCAAAGAGCAAATTTCTGTTTTTAGGCAATTTGCACTTCAAGCCCATTTGGCCATAAGTGTATGAAAACATTGGCTGCATTTCAGACCTTTTGGTTTTAAGTGCATCTGAAGTACAACTTTTCACTTCAAACTTATTGGCCTTAAGTGTAGGAAAACGTTTACACTTAGACCTTTTGGCCTTAAGTGTATCTGAAGTGCAATTTTTCACTTCAGACTTATTGGCCGTAAGTGCACGAAACCATTGGTTGCATTTCAGACCTATTTGGCCTTAAGTGCATCTGAAGTGCAATTTTTCACTTCAGACTTATTGACCTTAAGTGCATGAAACATTGGTTGTACTTCAGACCTATTACGCCTTAAGTGCATCTGAAGTGCAATTTTTCACTTCAGACTTATTGACCTTAAGTGCATGAAACATTGGTTGTACTTCAGACCTATTACGCCTTAAGTGCATCTGAAGTGCAATTTTTCACTTCAGACTTATTAGCCTTAAGTGAAGGAAACCGTTTGTTGCACTTCAGACCTTTTGGCCTTACATGCGTCTGAAGTGCAATTTTTCACTTCAGACTTATTGACCTTAAGTGCATGAAACATTGGTTGTACTTCAGACCTATTACGCCTTAAGTGCATCTGAAGTGCAATTTTTTCACTTCAAACTAATTTTTTTAACTTCAAACCCGATAAGTCTGAAGTTGATCGTAAAGTGGATAGGCTTGCAAATTTTTTGCAAAGTGAGTATAAGTTCAATTATGACCTCAAAACCGGGTATACATGCATAAACCCCGTAATATTCTCTTTAGGCTAATTATTCACATAGAGATAACTATACGGCCCATAACGTACTATATCTAGCGGAGTCCACGATAAGGTAAAGGCTCTCGGAATATGTGAAAATACATAAGGAACCAATTGGAAGAGGCTTGGGTGGGGATAATTAAGGGGAAAGTGACATTGTATAGCCGCTCTCAAAATTGTAGCTGAAAAGGTATATATATATATATATATATATATATACAGACACACACACACATTTTTATACATTATATACAAAAAATTATATAAATTTTATATACTGTTGCGGCTATCGGATATAAATAATTATGGTTGCGGACTAAAAGTGGTCTTTGCCTATAATTAAGCGGTCAAGGAATCGATGATAGAATGAAGAAAAAAAATATTTTGAAGGCATGCACGCTGCAAGTCTGTAGTAAGCTTTGATAAAAATAGATTTTGGCGAAGTTTCATAATGCTGAAATTTAAATGCTTGGGGTGCAAGTGTGAATTTAGCACCCGCGTTATACCTGCAGCGCCAGCTTATACTAATTTTCTGTATATAAAGTGATCTATTGGCTTTGCCATACAATCCTAGTTAAGAACCCAATCATTCCTGTGTGAATTCAAGTCGATTATCATGAAATTAAAAAGGATTAATATGGGAAAATCACATATTATCATCAAATAAGAACCCAAAATTTAAGGTCCGTCGTCCAAGGTAATTCTTGTTACTTCCTATTATTAAAGTCAGTAATTTTATGACGGATAATGACTAAATTGTCAAATTAGTGGGAATTAAGGGTGGAAGTGATGAAAAGTCATTAATGGCTTACTAAGAATTTGATGGAGGAATTGGTTGGATGATATAGTTTGAATTAATAACTGGACTAGCAAATACTTGTTACGTGTTTAATAGATTGCCTAAGTTAAAAAAATTCAAACTATGTGTTTGTACATTCTAGCAACCATTTGAATTCTAGAGCTTAAACAAGGATTACATTTCAACATGAATTTCACAAAGAACTCATCTACTTGAATATACTTAACTAGATATCTCAGAAGAAAATAATTAAATTTCAGAACTTGATTTAATCACTTTTATGTCTGCAGTTAGTTGTATTAATCATACTCAACTTACAGATAGACAATGTGATCACATTCGATATAGAAGAAGTAGAAAGTCTCCCCATGTACGAGTGCTACGAATGCCAAGGCTAGTTATTTCCACATTTGTAGGTGCTATCATTTGTTCTGAGCCGAGAGTCTATCGAAAACAGTCTTTCTGCCCTATCGGGTAGGGGTAAGGTCTGCGTACACATTATCCTTTCCAGATCCCATTTTGTAGAATTTTACTGGATAGTTGTTGTTGTTGTAGGTGCTATCACTTGATTCTTTCAGGTATCAGAGGAGTAGTCAACCTCCTCAAGTGTGAGTGCCGCTAGGGCGAGGGTTATGCCAACCTTAGCTCGGAAGAAGTGGCTAACCGCCCCAAGTATGGATGCCACCAAGACTAGGGGTAGGCCACCTATCCCCGCACTTGCATGTGCCATTGTTTGTTAATTTTTAAAAAAATAAATGTTTTCAGTTAAATTCAATTTTAGTGCGTACCTCAAATTTCAAAATACAGTTTCAACTTAAAGATTTTAGTGTTAATAAGTTGCTAAATTTATATTTATTTAGCCCCGAGTAATATTTTTCCTCCGGTTGGAGAGTTGTCAACGAGACTTACTTAGTACCCTATCTATGGTACTAAACATGTTTGGACTTGCTATGTCATGTGACAAATATCGAAGATGTAGGTGACGAGGTTCGCGATTAGTTCCAGAATTCGCTATTCAATCGTCAGACTCCATTGATTCTTTTTAGCGATATCAAACTCTTTTTATTTTTCGAACTATTCTTAGACCCTTGTATTATTTCTGATGATAGTCTCTATATCTTATTTTAGCTATCAGAGTCTAGAGGCTGATAACTTGTTAATAGTCAATATCCATATTTCAGGTTTCATTTTTAATTATAATTTTATATGACTAGTAACGTTTGTTGTTTCGCTCGATATTGATTTGAATTTAAGCTATTGTTGAAACTGTGTTGTCCAGCATACTGTCACGACCCCAAATACCTCGGTCGTGATGACGCCTATCACAGTACTAGGTCAACCCAAAAACGACACGAATAGTACAAAGATCATTTATAATTTCACCTTTCTAGACAGATTAAGTCTCAAAGCTTTCAATTTTTAAAATATTAAGGAAATACGCGGAAAAAGTACGAAAATACATTAACACGGCCCCAATCTGGTGTCACTAGTCATGAGCCTCTAAGTACAACCCAACACTGTCTAATTAATACATAACAAGTCTGAAAATACAAAGTACTAGAATAAGAAGGAGAAAGGCAGGGCTGCGAACGCCGTGCAACTACCTCGCGATCTCCAGATAAGACTCTGAGAGTGCTGAAAGCTCTCACTCTGATGCTCCAACACCTGGATTTGCACACAAGGTGTAAGGAGTAACGTGAGTATGCCAACTCAGTAAGTAACTACAGTAAATAAAGTATGAGGGTAGTGACGAGCATTTAAAATCATATGCATACTAATCAAGAAAATTTCAACAGAAATATGAATGTCAAAAATCTGCAGTTCAATAGCCAATTATCTTGGAAAACTCCAGTTTCAATTAAAATCCTTTAAAATATTTATTCAACATTTTCAATAGAGGCTCAATATAAAAGAAGAGTGAAAGTAGAAAAATGTCAAAAACAAGCTCCTTGAGCAAGGTATCACTCATAAGTATAGCCTCTCGGGAAAGCCTCTCAGTCACTCGTGACTCAACTCTCGTCAATCAGTACTCACACTCAACACTCCAGCTCAGTAGATCATAATAATAATAATAATAATAATAATAATAATAATAATAACTGCTGCGGCATGCAGCCCGATCCATAATATATAGTCGACTACACTCACTGGGGGTGTGCAGACTCCGGAGGGGCTCCTACAGCCCAAGCGTCATATCGCTGTGGCG